CGAACAGCTTGAGGCGGAATGATATGTTCAACTCTACGATCTCCGCCATAGCCTCCAGTAATTCCTAGATAGCAGTATTCATTTTGGATTACCAAAAAGGTTGTGAAATATACCTTGGAGCGGGACACCGTCCGTGGAGAATATCATAGCTTCGCAGCCAGGATCAAACTCAACTGTGGAAAGGGTACTTGAGCATTTATTGACTGGCTCAAAACTCTCGCTTTACATTGTACACGCTCATACTGTTGCCAATAGGAAGGAATCTTGAGAGTAACCTTCCACCAGTGGTTTGTCTGCGAACAAATATACACGCATGTGAGAAGGAGGTACGATTGCACAGTATTGTCATACCCCTATAAAGAGAAGCTGCCATCAGAAATGATAATGTTGGATATGAAAGCGACTTACAAGACGGCCCAAAGGAGTCATTCTTCTTCGCTGGTTTGAATTCGTGCTTCATTGCCTCTTGAAAGGAGGGCTTTGTAAGACCTGGTGCGCTCCAAACTTGGAGATCTACGTGATGCGAGCCATCGATGCGATGCGTGTAGAGTACAGAGGACAGATTGACATCTTCGAAGTGGCCCCCAAGGAAAGTGGACAGTCGGTTTTGGGTCAAACCCTTGATCCATTTCGCTCCAGAACCATAGTTGAGTTGGGGGTAATGCTTCTGGTTTTGACTGTGTGAGCACATCGTTGTCAGGACCAGTAGTAGTATGTCGTATGTAGTACAACAAGCGCCGCTGTACTCCTGGGACTGAATGAACGTGGGAAATTAGGGCGGCCTCGACGAGCGGGTATTATAATGATGAGTCCATGTCTCACGATGTCGCATCAGACCGGATTCGTGTGAACCCGCAGCGACTCTTGAGACAAAGCTCTGCTTCACATATGACGCGAAAATTATCGCCAGAAATACTTCTAATAATGTAACATTCCTGCAGAATGCACGATAGTCTCTAGTCGGACTAAAGACTTCGTCCACAACCATGTTCCGTTCATTTTGTCACCTGAACCAGAATGAATCATGCACATCTACCACGCTGTAGTTCGACACCGTGCCCTACAAATATCAAACAAGACCAAGTTAGGTATACAATGTAGATGCAACTGAGAACAGACACTGCATGAAGTGAATGACTAAAAAATCATACAGTCCCTGTGTCCGCTCGCACAAACTTCGTTCTATGGTCAACTTGATCTTGAGAGCTAGAAGTGTTGAACTCCTTGAATTGATCGTCAGGACAAGGGAGATTGACCTCCTCCAGGCGAACCATCACATCTTCATTCGTCTTGATCCCACTGATCCCACCCCCATTCTTGCCGAAATTTGCAAGTTCAAGATTACTGGCAGCACATAGCATAATGAGGTGAATTGTGTTTGACACATTGAAGTGGGCCTTGTGGTTGTGAGATCGATGCTCTTCCAAAGCCTCCAGAAGGCTGTACAATGCGCAGGCAAAAGTGAGGAAAGTAATAATGGTGAGCGGCATTGTAGCGAGCAGATATGTCGGCGAGTTCTTAGCCCAGCGAGTCCAGCCTATCGTCGATATGAACATGGTCCCATTGACTTGGGAAGAAAGATTGTTTGGGATGTCATTATCGGGGAAGCTGCCTACGGCCATAAACCCGGAGCGAAGGAACTGCAAAATGATGCCAGGTCAATTTAGACTATATTGACAAAACCAGCAGCCTCACCGTGGCGGAAAACTCAACAACACCACGCCAATAATCCTCCTAAGAAAGTCATAAGAGGTGGATCAAGATTATATGATATAGAACTGACGAGCTCAAGGTAAACTCTCGCTTGGCTGAGATTGTTATTGACATATTCGGTAGTGGTCGAGGAATAAATGGAGTACAAGGTATCCCCAATTGTGCTGCTCGTAAGTCCCTGCGAGTTGATCGATTGATACCTGGCAACAGCAGCGATAAATGACAGTAGCTCGGCGTTCTCTGGCTGGAAAGTGGAGGATGAGATGACCTCGGAAGAAATTTGTTCATTGGAATAATCGGCGCGGACTGTGGTCAACAAGGGAACCACTTCGCATACGCTTGCTGTAAGGAAATTATACTTGTAAAACCCTTGTGTGAAAATGGCTACAAGAACAGATTCGGTCAATGACTCCGAACATGCATATTTCAAGGGCTCACTGAAGCTTGTATACGTTTGGTTCAGATCGATTGGTCCTAGGCACACGACAGATGGAAGAAAGCCACTCCCTGATGAGCTCATATTTCCATTTGCATCCACCATGGTCACATATTCGTACGCTGTCGGCGTATCTAGAAGCTGTCAGTAAAATCGAAAAAAGACATGTCCAAGATTCAAACTAACTGGTACCACAGTTTGCACTGATATTCCACAAGCGTAGACCGGTGATGGAGTAGTCGCTCGAAGCAGCTGCGTTGGCATAGACGACGTAAGAGTTGTTCGTGTCCCAAAGGTACTGCGTTTGACTCGAGTCGATGGCCCAGCAGCTGACATTCGCTGTTAACCCTTGTTGCCACATCGAATAGTTCGTGCTGAAACCTTGAGGAATGTGTACGCTGGAGTATGATCCGGGTACGACTTGTGTGTTGACCGTGACATTTCCACCAGAAAACCCGAGACGAGTGCCATTAGCATCCGGAATTCCATCTGAGCCGGAAAACGATTCAATGGTAGGCACGACCCCCTCTAGTTGCATAATATCGCAAAATGGTTAAAAGCGAGCTGAGGGACTGGACGTACGAGTGGATATGTTGTATTTTGCACCATTAAAGTTGAAGGTTCCGGGAAGACCAAAAGTAAATCCTGCAGCAGCAACTCCACTGAGCATTCCACCGATATCGAGAACTTCGAAAGCATTGCCCTGGACTTAGTTGTTCCATTTTACAAATAACTCCTTAACTCGAGTAGGGATACATACTGAGATTATTTGCCAGGAATTCTTCACGGAGCAAGGTGTCAAACGCGCTTCCCGTTATGTCAATTTCGGATCCATTCAACTGCACTGGCCACACGAAGTAGGCCGGTGTTAAGAGAGTTGTCCACCTATGACCTTATTCAAACGATAAGATCTCAACAATGCTTTCAGAGAAGACGTACCCAGCCGTTAAGAGTTTCAGCACCCCAAATATAAACAGCGTAAGGACTGTCAATATTATGTTTCGACGGTTCCAAATATGAGAGCCTTGTGCCAAAGCGACACCAGCGCTCAGGTGAATTAGAGAGATGGGCTGGCGTATTCGATGTCTGAGTGCCTCTTTGACCGAAAGCGTGAAAAGACTGGTAAAAAAAAATCATATTTTACTGGATAATCAGTCGGAGAGAGTAAAAGGCAGACTGACGTAGCAGTGGTAACCGATAGCACAGTTGCTATCAACGTGACTAGCATTGTAACCTCTCCAGGATAGCTCCTCATTAACTCGCAGACTGTATCGGATGGAGCAATGTACTCATAGTAAATAACTGCACCAAAGAATCCGTATCCAAATGCCAGGATAAAAATCTGGCTAATGATGATAACTGCGTAGTGCACAATTTTGGGGTGTGCGTGAGGCATCCCAAGAGGAGAGGTAGACGCAGAAGCCATGCTGTCTGTCACTCCCATAGGAATGTTATATACTTGACCATTGCTGCATGCATGCACAGCCTGGACTATAGGAGTACTCGAGTGGAGTCCGTGATCCGAATCGATACTGAGTATGCGCGAGACTAGGATGCACGCAATGAAGGCAATCAGCAATGCAACTATCTATGACCAATGTGGCAAGTGGATACATTGCGTTGTTTAAATTTTTCATTCACCCTCAGGCTTGACATGTTCTTGGGAACTTGAAGCCTGGAGACAAGGATACCACCCGAAGACGTATGAGATCCAACCTCCCCCTTTGAGTAACCCTAACATCTTAAGGGTTCAGATTCATAGATGGTAGTAACATGCGTGTACAAAGACTTGCCTGCCCAGTGTGCTTTGTTAAAAAAAAATTAAATTTCAGCGCTTTAGATACTTCGAAGAAGCTCCGACTGGGGCGCTTCAATACCTGTAGCGAATGGCGCCCTCAGCATGCGGTGACTCTAGATCATCCTTCGAGATTGATGGGAAGGGAAGGGCATGCGAGTTGAGAAAACTTCAATGGCCGCCGCTGGTGTCATGACTGTGGTTTGAGTCAGAAGTTCCGTGTTTATTGAAGCTTATTATGTAATAAGCGGCTTGAGTCGTATTAACAAGCTCGAAACTAGTACTACCCTTGTACATATTGGTATATTAATGAGTCGGCGCAGACACTAAACGTCGTCCGGCTCGCGTTGCAAGCGCTCAGGAAGCGTAATGGAATCCATTGGGAATCCATCATGCATTGCCACAATATATGAAGTTGCTGTGCCGCATCGAGGGTGCGGTTCCGGTACCGGCGTCTGCATGGTAGGCGACGGAATACTCCTTGCTGTTTCTTAGCCCTTCATGCTGGCTGAGCAGCATGTATAATTCCTTTTTCAAACTTGATTGATCGACGAGTAGATCGGTAGCTCAGAGTCCCTCATTTTCATCACGGGGCCAGGAGATACGTTTGGTACCCGCACGTCACCGGAGAAGCATGTCAAACAATTGAAACATGCATAGGAGTGGGCGGCTGCGTCGAATGTGGGCGTGCTTAACGTATGATATGAGAGTTTTTCGGCGGTCACTACGGTGAAACGCATTTGCAGTGCAGAGTGCATGTAAACCACTTGATAGAATGGAACTGTGATCTCTACAAATGAATGCTGACTCTGTAAATGCACTCGTCAAGTACTTGAATACTTATCTGAATACGAGACCTACCGCACGAATAGATTTGTCCGACCGTTTTGTGGTAGATCCTTTCCCTTCTTGACCTCAAGAAGTTTAGAATAGGAAAACTTCGAAACATTGCTAAGTTGCTTAGGCATGCGCGAAATTCATCGCCAGAAGTTCTTCCAAGATAACATTTCGTGCGGAAAGCATGAACATGATCAAGACGACGATCTGCAGTTTGGCTAAAGACTTCGTCCACTCCCATATTACATCCATTCTGTCACCAAAACCCAAAGTAATCACATTTACCGCTCTATATTAGTTCGACATCGTGCCCTACAAATGTCAAACAAGACCAAGTTGGATATACATACAACTGAGAACAGACCTCTACCATAATGTGATATGGCTGAAAATCATGCACCATCCCCCGTTTCACTTCTCCCACAAACTTCGTTCTAACTTGAGTTTGAGAGCCGGGGAGAGCCGAACTCCTCCAAGTGAACCCTCACAACCTCATTTCTCTTGATCCCATTCCTATCGTGGAAATTTTCGAGTTTCAGACTCCCAGCAGCGCATAGCATAATAAGATGAATCGTGTTTGCCACATTGAAGTGGGCCTTGTGGCTGTGAGATCGATGCTCTTCCCAAGCCTCCAGAAGGCTGTACAATGCGCAGGCAAAAGTGAGGATGGTAATGATGGTGAGCGGCATCGTGGCGAGCAAATATGTCGGCGAGTTCTTAGCCCAGCGAATCCAGCCTATCGTCGATATGAACATGGTCCCATTGACTTGGGAAGAAATGTTGTTCGGGATGACATTATTGGGGAAGCTGCCTACAGCCATAAACCCGGAGCGAAGGAACTGTAATATGATACTGGGTCAACTCAGACTATATTGAACGGACCAGCAACCTCACCGTGGCAGAAAACTCGACAACACCACGCCAGTAATCCTCCTAAGAAAGTCATAAGAAATGGATCAAGATTGTATGACATGAAACTGACGAGCTCAAGATAAACCTGTGTGTCATTGAGATTGTTGTTGACATATTCGGTAGTGGTCGAGGAATAGATGGAGTACAAGGTATCCCCAATTGTGCTGCTCGTAAGTCCCTGCGAGTTGATCGATTGATACCTAGCAACTCCAGCGATAAATGACAGCAGCTCGGCGTTCTCTGGCTGGAAAGGAGCGGATGAGATGACCTCGGAAGAAATTTGTTCATTAGAATAATCAGCGCGGACTGTGGTCAACAGGGGAACCACTTTGCATACGCTTGCTTTGAGGAAATTGTACTTGTAAAACCCTTGTGTAAAAATGGCTACAAGAACAGATTCGGTCAATGACTCCAAACGTGCATATTTCAAGGGCTTACTGAAGCTTGTATAAGTTTGGTTCACATCTATTGGTCCTAGGCACACGACAGATGGAAGAAAGCCACTCCCTGATGAGCTCATATTTCCATTTGCATCCACCATGGTCACATATTCGTATGCTGTCGGCGTATCTAGAAGCTGCCAGTGAACTCGAAAAAAAATATGACCAAGATCCAAACTTACTGGTACCACAGTTTGCACTGATATTCCACAAGCGGAGACTGGTAATGGAGTAGTCACTCGAAGCAGCTGCGTTAGCATAGATGATGTAAGAGTTGTTCGTGTCCCAAAGGTACTGCGTTTGACTCGAGTCAATGGCCCAGCAGCTGACATTCGCTGTTAACCCTTGTTGCCACATCGAATAGTTCGTGCTGAAACCTTGAGGAATAGGCACGTTGGAGTGTGATCCAGGTACGACTCCTGTGTTGACTGTGACATTTCCACCAGAGAACCCGAGACGAGTGCCATTAGCATCCGGAATTCCATCCGAGCCAGAAAACGATTCAATGGTAGGCACGATCCCCTCTAGTTGCACAGTATCATAAGATAGTTTAGAGTGAGCTAAGTGACTGGACGTACGAGTGGATATGTTGTATTTTGCACCATTAAAGTTGAATGTTCCAGGAAGACCAAAAGTAAACCCCGCAGCAGCAACTCCACTGAGCATTCCACCGATATCGAGAACTTCGAAGGCATTGTCCTGGACTTAGTTATTCGATTACACAAACAACTCATGAATTTGATTAGAAATACATACTGAGACCATTTGCCAGGTATTCTTCTCGGAGTAAGGCAGCAAACGCGCTTCCCGTTATGTCAATTTCGGACCCATTCAACTGTACTGGCCACATGAAGTAGGTCGGTGTTAAGAGAGTTGTCCACCTATAACCTCATTCAAATGAGAAGATCTCGACAATGCTTTCAGAGAAGACGCACCCGGCCGTTAAGAGCTTCAGCACCCCAAATATGAACAGCGTTATGACTGTCAATTTCATGTGTCGGTGGTTCAGAAGATGTGAGCCCTGGGCTAAAGCGACACCAGCGCTCAGGTGAATTAGAGAAATGGGCTGGCATATTCGATGTCTTAGCGCCTCTTTGACCGAAAGCGTGAAAAGACTAATGAAAAAAATCACGTCTCACTAAACGATTAATTGGAACGAGCAAAAGGTAGGCTGACGTAGCGGTGATGACTGATAGCACAGTTGCTATCAACGTGACTAGCATTGTAACCTCTCCAGGATGGCTCCTCATTAACTCGCAGACTGTATCGGATGGAGCAAGGTACTCGTAGTAAGCAACCGCACCAAGGAATCCGTATCCAAATGCCAGTATAAAAATCTGGCTGATGATGATGACTGTGTAGTGCACAAATTTGGAGTGAGCATGAGACATCCCAAGAGGAGAGGTAGACGCAGAAGCCATGCTGTCGGTCACTCCCATAGGAATATTATATATTCTACCATTGCTGCATGCACACCACTGACACAGCGTGGACTATAGAAGTAGTCGGGCGGAACCCGTGATCCGAATCGATACTGAGTATGCGCGAGCCTTGGATGCACCCAATGAAGATGATCAGCAATACAACGACTCTCTATTACCAGTATGGCAAGTAGATACAGATATATTGCGTTGTTCAAATTTTTGATTCGCTCTAGACAAGCTTTCGAGAACTTGAAGACGAACTTGGAGGCAAGAGCAAAATGTGAGATCCAACCTCTCCCTTGGAGTGACTCTGTTGGAGATTCAGATTCATAGATCGTACCAACATACATACACAAAGACTCGCCTGTCCAGTTTCCTTTCGTTGAGAAGTTGAATTCCAACGCTGTGGATACTTCGAAGAGGCTCACTGGGGCACCGGCGGCCACCGGGAGAAATACGCTTGATTTCCAATACCTGCAGCAAATTGCACGCTTAGCGTGCAGTAACTTTTAAATTGTCCTTCCAAGTCGAGCTTCGAGGGAAAGAGAGGGCGTGTGAGTTGAATAGACTTTGATGTATTGGAAGGTCGCCGTCGCGTGTCATGGCTAAGGCCCCTCACTGGTTGGATGTAAGAGGGTCACTTTCCGTGTTTATGTAAGCTACTTGAAACTTCAGCGCTTCAGCTTCACGGTGAGATCGCATCAACTTAAAACTATGACCCACCCTAGGCCTGTGACCACTACGAAACTAGAGATTCGAGTATAAATAACACGACAACTCAATCACGATGAGTCGGCACAGACGCTATTGTCCGGCTACGTTCTAGGTGCCCGCAACCGTAATGAAACCTGTCATGCATTGCTACTGCTAGAAAGTTGCTGTCTCATCGACGTAATTCCTACACTGGTATCTGCAAGGTATCAGGGTGCGGTTCCGACACCGGCATCTGCATCTGCATAGTACGCTGTGGTTCGGGACGGGATACCACTAGCCGTTTTCTAGCCCTCCTTTCATATTCCCCCACGTGTCGAATCTCGATCTCTTCATTCCTCTTCAAGCATCGTGGTGTTCAAGACCACACATGTGCCCTTCTAGCCCACCAACTGCAGTAGGCGCACGAGGTCACAGTAGTCGAACGCGACATTATCTCTTAACCAGCCAGATCATCATAAAAGATGACAAACAGAAACAGGTAGATGAGACGCCCTTCTCGCCAGTCATACGTGCTGACTTAGAACGTGGTGCCATTTGTGACGACAAATATGTTGGAAGGTATTTCTGTCTAGGGAAGACTGCTGGTAGTAGAGAAACTAGGTCTCAGAAGCTACCAGAGACGAAGCCATCAACGTCTTCGCCAGAAGTGACTGAAACTACTATGTCACTGAATTCTACCACCCCGCTCCAATGACCTTCTTGCAGTTAACAATTTTGCGTCTGAGCACAGCAGTGGCAGGCTTCCAACCAGTTGACGAAAAACGATATCCATCCAACTGCTATCAACGTAAGCCGTCAAGTAGTTTGATAATATTGATCTGGAAGCTTTTATTGTTCCCCGCTTGATAATTGATCGTATTCGCGATGAACTGAGTGAGGCCATGAGACGGTCGCAGGCGGGAATGCATATTTAGCACGGCCTGGCCCATCAGAATATTAAAAAATTTGAATTGGTGAGCACATAGTAAATGAGCGGGCTCGTTCGTTTACCAAACTTGTACGGACTGAAGCCTGAAGAGCCTGGCCGTGGACTGTTGGAAGAAAGTGCCTTAGTATCTAGGTACATTTCGACAGTGGTAGCATTTGTAAAGGTGCATAACATTGAGCCATTTCCTGTAATACAAGATGTGATGCAGCAAGTGGGAAACGAAACTGTATTGCGCTCCTGGCAGTTAACTTCCGCGGCGAGGCCTTAGTGAGTTCTTTCCAAGATCCTTGGAAGGGAACCAAACAGGTGGTGACCCAAGTCGATTGTGACATCGAGGCACCAAACCATTGGTTCAACTTGAAGGAAGTTCAACTGCGGTCCCTGCTATAGTCAGAATCGCTCACGGCAGGGAGGAGACCACATTGTCAAATGCGCTAACACGATCAAGTCTCGCCCTTGTCAACTTGCTATACTAAACTCCACTGTGAGCAGGCTGGGAAACCTGAAGTCAAGTCATATCGTTGTGGTCTTGCGGAAGATTTAACTGACGTGGTCGTGATCACGGGAAGTACGGTGGTCATTAGAGAAACCAACAATGTCAAGGTCGTCAAAGGCTCGAGAATTAATCTGACTGTCGAATCCGAGAGGGCCATTTACCGAAAACATCAAAGGGCGCCCATAAAGCCCCGTCAAAAGCAAGAATGGTCTATGCAGTGTCTATGGATGCCTTGATGAAAAGCGGACCTGTCGATGTTCTTAGCATCGTGCAAGGTGCGCAAATGAGCAAGTGGATATACCTTGAATTCAATAGGCAACGAGGCCATCGTTGAGAACATTCGAGGAGAGCATGCTATAGTGAGTATATTTCCGGGATAACCCGCACGTTCTCTCTCGCGGCGTGCTTCCATGCTTGACGCCCATGGCTGAGCAGCATGTGTAGGTCGGTTGCATTCCTTTTGCAAACTTGACTGGTCGACGAGTAGATCGGCAGCTCAGAGTTCCTCGTTTCGTATCATGGGGCTGGGTATACAATCCCCCGGTACCCGCGCGTCACCGGAGAAGCGTGTCAAACAACTGAAAGATGCATAGGAATGTGCAGCTGCGTCGAATGTGTGCGCGCTTAACGTATGATATGAGGGTTTTTCGGCGGTCACCACGGCGAAACGTATTTGCAGTGCAGAATGCATGCAAACTACTTGATGGAATGGAACTGTGATCCCTACAAATGAATGCAGACCCTGTAAATGCACTCATTAAGTACTCAGATACTTATTTGAATAGGAGACCTACCACCCAAATAGACCTGTCCGACCGTTTTGTGGCAGATCCTTTTCCCTTTCTGACCTCCAGGGAGTTCAGAATAGGAAAACTTCGAAGCCTAGACACGGATCCAAGTCGACTAACTTCACAGTGTCTCCGAGGACCTGAGTAACGAGGCGTTGTCATGATAGCATTAGCAAAATTTGCATATGGTGAATCACCGCATGAGGCCAAACAAAACTGTGGAAAGGCAGTCGTTGACTGCGTAGGCTGAGCGTTGATTTGATATGACCATAAGTAAGGGGGCCTCTAGTTGAGGCAAAAAAAACGTTCAGTATCCAATACTAGCGCCAACCTGTCAGCCCAGGTACAGCGTGCAAATAACCTCGGGTGGAGCAGAAACGCTGTTGTAATAACGCATATAGATCAACCGAGGCCGGTCCTGGTTTGGCAAATTCAACAAGCACAGGCCGGGGATTAGTATGGAACGTTGGATGTTGATTGCGCCATGCGGCTAGATGAATTCCTTCTATGGTAGGTATAATTTTGTTCTATGCTTCTGACCTATGCATACTCGACGTTAGCGTCCGACCCGGAGAAGACTGTGGTGCGTGCACAAATGAACGTAAAATGGGATTAGGCTCGGAGAAGAAGGGGCCAGTAATCGGCATCAGCAACGCCACGGCAGAGTGGAATATCAATCGCAATTCATGCTGGCAGCGGGCACCACCTCATTCCTTTTCACCCTTCTAGGCAAAACTAACTGACCTATAAAACTGGGTTCGAACGTAGATGTGTAACTGCCAAAAACAATGGTCGTTCAAGCAACAAATAAAAATTGGAATATACCTTGCCAATCTTAAGTCGTTTGCAAATCTGGTTCGCAGATTCAAACAAACGAAACTTGCAAACATTGGATGGCTTGTGCAAATCTGCGACGGTGATACAGAAGAAGAATTCTGTACAAGCACATGACAGACTACAGGCCTGAACATGACCTCCCCTGCCCGTTCCATCGAAGCATGGCAAGATTTGATGCGAACTCAGGGATAATCACCCAACATGAGTATATAAATACGAGCAAGGGGCTATTCCTTTGATTTGACGACCAACAAATGCAAATATCTGAATCGCACCAGAAGGCATGCTTGAACTTCCAGTGGCATTGTCATGCTCTTAGGTAACTATGTGGGAACAGGGAAGCATCGAGAAAATGATGCGAGACAGTTTCAGCACCAAGCATGTCTAGGGAGTTGGGTTGGAAATTGAATGACTCGCCTTTGGGAGTAATATCGATACGCAGCCTCAGCATCCACTACAACTGACAGGATATGCAAGGGGAGCATAGACAGAGTGCGGTAAATGACCCTCGGAACATAACAGTGGAGGAATTAAGATAAGGGGCCCGGGCCCGTCAGATGACTCAAATCCAGCACGCGATCGTCGCAGATGTGCCTCCAACAAAAAGCTTCCGCAAGAAGGGCGTTGAAAAGGTAAATGGGGAAGGTGATCGCCGTAAGCTGCCTGAAAGTTCCTGATGTCCTTTCAACCCAATGAAAGAGAACGCCATGCCTTGCACCATGCCAAGGGTCGGTTCTCGCCTGAGGTAAAACGCGGACGGCGCGAGGGTATCTGTTCAATCTCCTCCAAGTCACCCTGCACAGAGTAGCAATCTGTATCAGATTCTTTTACTCGTTGAACTAGCGTAATTTCAATCTCACACCTTCTTTCGTTGATGTCACAGACCTTTTTTTGATGCAGGAACGGCTAAAAACACATCCCGTCGCCACATGATTTCCTGAGGCATGCCGAGTCAGGTTGGGTACAATGCAGATGAGTTTGAGCCGCGCAGCGAATGTACTAACACATCTTCCATGCCAGGATCGTCAAGTTCTTCAATCATCCACTGTTGCACAACGGATTCTAATTAATCTAACAACATAAATGACAGGACTCTGAATCATGTGCAATTGTCGTACCTGAAGCTGTCCAGACGGTCCAGCTTAACGACAGAAAAAACACGCATGTATCTCGAATCTCGATATATAGGATGGGGTGAAAATGATCGATGGTTGGAATAAACACAGAAGGATTG